GTGGGGTTTAGGGGGTCCCCAGGGGTTTGTGGGACCCCCAGGAAGGGGAGAGGAGGATCCCCGATGTTGGGGTTCACCCCCCCGTAACTCCCCCACCAGATGACGGCGTTCGGTGCTTTCCTGCACAAAGGCTCCTTCTGCCGCAACTGGTTCAACCTCCTGGACCTGCTGGTGGTCGGCGTCTCCCTCATCTCCTTCGGCATCCAGTGAGCACTGGGGGAACTGGGAGTACTGGGGGAACTGGGAGGGGCACTGGGGGAGCTGAGAGTGCCACTGGGGGAACTGGGAGCACTGGAAGAGGGACTGGGGGCACTGGGAGGGTCACTGGTATGGTTACTGAGAGGTTACTGGTATGGGAGCAGCGGGAGGTTAGAGGTAGGGTTACTGGGAGCAGTGGTAGGGTTACTGGGAGCAGTGCGAGGTCACCAGTATGGTCACTGGGAGCACTGGTTTCCCCGGCAGCTCCAGCGCCATCTCGGTGGTGAAGATCCTGCGGGTGCTGCGGGTGCTACGGCCGCTGCGCGCCATCAACCGGGCCAAGGGCCTCAAGGTGCCCAACTGGGAGCACTGGGAGGGGCGAGCTGCAGGCCGTACTGGTGCCACTGGCATCCCTGGGCGTGGGGTGTGGGTGTTACTGGTGCTACGAGGAGGGAGTGTGAGCCTTACTGGTGTCACTGGGGTGGTGGGACTGGGAGCATGGGTGTTCCCCTGTCCCCGTGTCACCTGTCCCCAGCCTGTGGTTCAGTGTCCCCCTGTCCCCCAAGTCCTGTGTCTGATGTCCCCGTGTCCCCCATGTCCCCCCGTCCCCCATGTCCCGTGTTCCCTGTCCCCATGTCTGATGTCCCCCTGTCCCCGTGTGTCCCCTGTCCATGTCCCCGTGTCACCTGTCCTGTGTCCCCACAGCACGTGGTTCAGTGCGTCTTCGTCGCCATCCGCACCATCGGCAACATCATGATCGTGACGACGCTGCTCCAGTTCATGTTCGCCTGCATCGGGGTCCAGCTCTTCAAGGTTGGGGGGGGTCGTCCCCCCCACACTCCCCCCCACCCCTCACCCTCCGCCCAGGGAATGGGGGGCCCCCCTGACC